CATGAGTCATGACCACCTGAACAGTTGATGATCCGCACAATGTCCTTAGAATATCATATCTCCTTCATTTCAGACCATGAAAATGTTCTTGAGTAAAACTGTTTCTATATTCCCCAGAGGTGCGCTTTTCTTTTTACATCTCCTCAAAAACGGACCTATGATGAACCAGCCATTCTTATAATATTATCTCAGAATATTTTAGAAATCAGCAGTACAGTTACATTTTCCTTATTAAATAGCCACTATGAAATAAATTTTCATACTGCAAGATAAGCATGCTTTAGATAAGAAACACACTGACTGTTAAAATAGACATGACTACAAACCTTCCATTCCTATTAAATGCAATCGGATGAAGCAATTAAATACCCATAAAGTCAGTACAAAGAGACTTGCAGCGTTCTTTCATAAAATTTCTTATCCATTTAGATTTTATCAGGCCACAAGTCATGTTCCTCTTCAAAGCACCAATAGACAAGAATGTTTATAGCATCTTAATGATGCTTTTTTCATCTTCCCACCATTATCACCCTTTGGAACCCATTTCAGAGATTAAGAATCATGCGCATAAAAGAGCTATTTTTAAAAAGCTTAGAAAATCTAAGAATATCTTCAACCGACATAATTCATGACTGCTGCAAAGAGAAAATAGCACATGGCAAGAAAGCCAAAGTCCTACTGATATACAAAATATTTTTAATATAAAGGGGAAAAATTTCTACTTTAGCTTCTAGGCATTTCTATACATAGAAACAGAACAACAGTCCTCAACAAATTTTTATGACTTAATTCAACACAATTCTGGTCCTAACCATTATGGCTCAGTATGTGTTCTGACCAAGGCTTTCTGAGACACTAACAAACACACATAAAATCCAAGCTCCTTTTATTTTAGTTCAATGGCTGTGAATTATCATCATTCACAGCCCAGAATGAGTTTCAACTGGTTATAAATGCTCCCAGGAACGTCTCATCTGATTTGAAGTGCTGCCAACGACTAAAGTCCAATTAGTCTTTCAAAACCAAAACGGAACAAATTAACCACGGAGCTTTCAGAGTCCAAACCAATCAGAGCAAATGACGTTGCTTCCTGCAAAGGTTTTCCTACCTTTGCACTTCCTTTATACCTTATGGGAGGGCAATTACTTCCAAGCCTTACTCCCGAGTCACCCGTTTTGTCTTAGCTGTTCTTGCCTTCTGGCAGCTCTGTGCATATGCACACTGGGAACAGGCTCCCCTTGTTCCTCTGCCTCACTACTGCCAGATTCAGGATGCTCCAAAGTCACCACATAACTCCCAGATGGTCCTGGCCCCATCTTTGTATCGGATGCAGGACCCTCGTTTGAGTTCTCCCTAGACTCACGGACTGCTCCCTGTTCTTCCCCACTGTCTGATTTTGCTGCCATCCGCATAGGCCGCCAGCGAACCACAACAGTATGATTCCTTTTTTCACATTTTCTATTTATTCATCACTTGAAAAGATATATTACTTTAGAAAAAATGAATAGTTTCATCTAAGACTTGCTTAATTATTATTTATTTTGGATGTTTTAATTCCTCCTTTATTATTTTTATAAATAACCCAAGCTGGCAGATACTCCTACTATTTCTTCCTCCTTCTATTTTATCCACAACAACAACCCTGTGAGGTGAGTGGGCTGAGAGAGAAAGTCACTTTCATACCTAAAGTGGGACTAATTAATTCCAGAATCTATACTGTTTAGTGGTGTATATTGGAGGCAAAGACCCTTTGTGAGCTGTATGCAATGAAATTTTCATTTTAATGTATGTCAATTAGTGTACATTCAAAATGACAATAAAGTTATTCTAGGTCTAAGTCTATAAAGGAATAAATTCACAAACTTGATAACAAACTTTGCTCAGATATTTTGTAGTCTTAAAAGTAGAATATGGCAGACACCCATCAAAATTTATCCAACCCATTTTGACTGGGGAATTCCATGACATGTAATGTAACTCTGCCTTATTGTCTTTTCTTCCAGATGATTAAAAATAAATAATAACCCACAAGGGTTTATGTTATATAAGCTGGCTTCAAAAGGTTGTTTCATGTGGCTTATCACTCAATACCTAGAGGTTTTATGAAGAAATAAAAGCTATCTCGGAACAACCAAAATAGAAACATTCTGCAATAGTCATCTTCCCCAAAGCCTCCCAAAGCAGAAGTATTTCATTAAAAAAATGGGGGTGCGGGAGGAAGAACCTGCTAAAATGTTCTTTACCTAACTGCAGTAAATATTGTTCTTTTTCCAGGATCCAGTCTGAGTCAGTGACTGGGACCAGAGTTTTAGTTTTCCACTGCAATTTGATTATTATTTATTATTATTTATTTATTTGTCAAGCAAGTATTAGAACAGGTATAAGTATAAACATGGCTATGAATACATGAAATGGATATGAATTTTTAAAAAAGAAACAATAGGACAGGGACAGTGCGCTTATGGTGCGCTTATGCACTCCCTGTACAGACCTCTTAGGAAAGGGGTGAGGTCAATAGTAGACAGTCTAAGGTTAAAGTTTTTGGGGTTTGGGGAAGAAACTACAGAGTCAGGTAGAGTATTCCAGACACTGACCACTCTGTTGCTGAAATTGTATTTCCTGCAATCAAGTTTGGTGCAGTTTACCTTGAGTTTGTATCTATTGTGTGTCTTGTATTGTTGTGGTTGAAGCTGAAGTCTTCATTGACAGGTAGAACATTGCAGTAGATAATTTTATGTACTATACTTAGATCGGACCGAAGGCGGCATAGAGTTCTAGGTTGTATAGGTCTAATATTTCAAGTCTGGTGGCATAAGGTACGAGTAGAGGAGTGGAGAACTCTTCTCATGAAATATTTCTGGACTTTCTCAACTGTATTAATATCAGATATGTAACTCTTAATGCCTTTTTGGCTATGTAGTTACAGTGGGCTCTAGCACTTAGATCATTAGAGATGAGTACTCCAAGGTGCTTGACATAGTTGAGGTCATCAGCAAGGTCTTGACTATTCAGCTTGTACTTTATTTTCTGATTTTTTTTTGCCAATATGTAAGACAGAGCATTTGTTTATTGAGATTTGAAGTTGCCATTTGTTTGACCATTCTGACACATAGTTGAGGTCATTTTGAAGGGTAGCAGTATTGTCATTCCTCCACCGTGATGTTTCATAGGAACACAGTGACATCAAGTTCTCAACAGGTTCCACATACACCTGTACTTCTAAAACATGGCAACTTTATGATGGGTGGACTTCAACTCCCAGAATTCCCCAGCCAGACTTGCTGACATACACTGACATACACTATTTCAGTAAACCAACAAACTGTAGAGCATTTACCTTTAAGACAGTGGCTCAGTTAAATAGACAGAGACTTGCCTAAGACTACCAACTGAATTCACAGAACAGCTAATCAATAGAGGACTTCTGGTTTGTACTCTCTGAATCGTACATTTATTTACTTGAGTAAATTCTACTCTGTTTAATGATTTAGTTTACTCCAAGACTGAGTGTTCATAGAACCAAAACTTCAATCACTGTCCCACAGGTAATACTATATAGATATTTGACAACATTACCACTCAGTGACCAGATATTGAAACATTGCAAAAAAGTATTTTCTTTTTGATTGATTTTGAATTCTGAATTATTTTGCTTTACTTCTTCTAGTATGCCTACTATGTTTAATAGCTCCAATTTTAAATGTCTAAGGCGTAAGTTTAACATCTTAGCAACATTAGGATGGATACTAAATTTTTGGACCACAGAGGATGGTCAAAAGAATAAAATGGTGGTCACAACAGTGCAATCCAAGTCTTTGCTGGTTTGTATGTGCATCACACTGTTAAGGCTTCCCTCTGCCCTTTTTTTCAGCATACCTGAAGCCTTTCCTGATATACTGTATTTCTAGTGTAACATATTTATTTATTTAAATTTTTATGCCACCCATCTCGTTCTTACAGTGATATTTACAATATAATAAAAAAGTAAAAAATGTAGCACAAAATGATTAAAATTAGAAGGATTAAATAGGAAACTAAAACCAAACCAAACCAGAAGGATGGGTAATACAGGGGTGGTGACTTTCTCTCTACCCATCAGTCACTCCCGGTCTAGAATGCCTCTATTGGGGCTCCAGGACCGGCAGGAGGAACCAAATTTTGAAGGACCTCCAGAAGACCAAGAGTGTGGAGGCCAACCTTATCTCAAGCGGGATATATTCCAGATGGCAGGAGCTACAGTAGGAAAAGGCTTTTCTCCTGAACCCCCTCAGCTGAAACCTTTTGCCAGATGGGATCGAAAGTAGGCCTTTGCTGCTGGACCAAATTGAGACGAGACAATTCCTCAGTTACATATTGAGCATGGATGACTAAATCAAATCAATAATATATGCAACATATATATACTGGTAGTCCTCGACTTACAACAGTTCATTTAGTGGCCAAAGTTACAACGGCACTGAAAATAGCAACTTATGACAGTTTTTCACACTTAGGACCACTGCAGTATCCCAATGGCCATGTGATTCACATTCAGATGCTTGACAACTGACTCACATTTATGATGGTTGCAGTGTTCAGGAGCTATTTTGCGACCTTCTGACAAGCCAAGTCAATGGAGAACCAGATTCACTTAACAACCAGTTACTAATTTAACAACTGCAGTGATTCACTTAACAAATGTGGCAAGGAAAGTCGTAAAAATTGTCCCAAATTCACTTAACACACTTTTCACTTAACAACATAAATTTTTGGCTTGATTGTAGTCCTAACTTGAGGACTACCTGTACATTGCTGATACGTATTCAGACACAAGTAAACACAAAAACAGAAATATGCATATATTATACAAGCTTGGAGATAGAGGGCAAAGCTTAACAGCGGAATTACAGGTACAATCTGTGAAATAACAAAAAAAAAAAAATGAAATAAATCTTTGTACCTGCACAGAGAGGCCCATAAGATACAATCAACTCTTGAAGCATTCAGAAAAACCAACTTACCACCGAATCAAGAAACTTAATACAGCATTCGAGCTCCAGGCGAGTCTCGCAGAACTGCCGAAAGAGAAATCTTCCTATTGGTTGCTTGTCACATAAACTGTAATAATCTCTCTCTGGAGGAAATAAGAAGAGAAGGAAGGAAAGTGAAACACTGGAGTGCTTTTTAGATCTGATTCAGTTTGGGAAGGCTGGGTGTATGTTTTAATTTTTTTTTTAACCTTGAAAAAAATCAAATCAGTTATGAATGCGCAAATTTAAAAAGTCATAAAGGTAAGGTATAGAAGCCAGTCAGTTTTTCAAAAATCATACCCTGGATGCAGAGAAATTAATATAAGATTTAATTAAACACATTCCAAGAATTTTGATTTGATTTTATATTTTTGCCATTAAAGGAAAAGGAAAAATGCATTGTTTCCGGCTCTTAACAATTGCAAAGACAGGCTTAAAAGTGTAAAGATGAAATCTGTTGAAATCTGAGAAACGACAGGAAAGCTGTCTCAGGTGGGTTTCCAGTAGTCAGAAAACTTCAGAGTCCCTTATAGCTACTTGCAATAGTGCAATGCGTTCTAAGTGCTTTCCCACCATCTGCAAATGTATGTAGTACAGGTAGTCTTCGACTTACAACAGTTCATTTAGTGACCATTCCAAGTGACTTATGACCTGCATCCCCATGGTCATGTGATCAAAATTCAGATGCTTGGCAACTGGCTCATATTTATGATGGTTGCTGTATCCTGGGGTCATGAGACCATTGTTTGTGATCTTCTGACAAGCAAAGTCAATGGGGAAAACAGATGGGGTTACTAACTTATCAACTTCAGTGGTTCACTTAACAAGTGTGCCAAGAAATGTCATAAATGTCGCAAAACTCACTTAACAAACATCTCATGTAACAACAGAAACGTGGGGCTCGATTGTGGTCAAAAGTTGAGGATGTCCTGATATCCAACCATTTGTGCTTCATTGCTACTGACACACTGCAATAGAATACAACTAAATAAGCAATATTGTAACTGTTGTGATTATCTATATCTATATCTATATCTATATCTATATCTAT